ATAAAAAAGAAAAAGTCTCCACAGTGGATGGTTTTAGGCGATTTCGTTTTTTTGAGACAACTTCCCCAGCTTTAGAGAAGACCTTTTCACATGGCACAGAAAATGCTGGTGTCACCAGGAACTGTTTGGCCAGGTTGAACAGGTGTGGGTACAGGGATTTGTGCCTCACCAGTAACCTAAGGGGTAGTTTGATCTGTCCAGAGGAGGAGCAGACAGATATCGCTGAAATCTGCAGTAGCGTTCTGAGATTTTCTGTCTTCTTCTGCATCTTTGTCAAGAAGTTTCCACAGGTCAGTGCCTGAAAATAAAACATTACAGGACATTTATAAAGCATTTAATTACATACAAATAAATATATAACTACAAATGTGATTAATGGTGTACCCATGGAAGCCGCAGCAGGTTCTGGCTATGCCGGTGTTGATGGTACATCGTCATGAGGTGCGTTTTGGATTAAGGCAGCACACTCTGACTTCAAGCGGCGCACAGCTGCATCAGCATTGGCTGGATTGTGAAAGCCAAGTGTTACAAGTAGAAACGTGTTTAGGTTGTGTGACAGAGCGGCTCCGTCACTGACTGCGTAAACACATCTCACACACACACACTTAGCGGATGGACACATCCTGGTAGCATTAACAGGCATTGATGACGTGTTGTTATCCATCAGCTGTTGAGGACAGCGCAAACACTGCACCTATGAAGTCAGTGAGATCAGTGTGTGATTTATTCTTCCTGTGTTTTTCGGAGGGGACCGTAAACTTGGACATCCATTGTATTAATAGACTTGACAATAAGGCTTGAATCTTGGAAATATAATTTATTAGTCAGTGGCACAATTCAAAATGTTCCCACACTTGTGACCGTTTCCATGATGGCTCCATAGCGAGTCAATCCAAAATGTGTTGACAAGACGTAGGACAGAGCGCTGTTTCATCCATCTTAAATACATCTGTATCGCTCCAATGTTTCAAAGCTCCACCTGTTGAACCAAACCAGTCAGCTGATTCAATCTGAATGAAGCAGAAGTGGTTCGAACTTCATCAGACACGTGGTTTTTCCTGATTTGAAACAAGCTCTGGCACAGTGCTTCAGAAAACTACCCTTCCGAGTTTGAAGCAAGCTTCAGAGCCTTGGTATCAGAGGGAACATCACTAGCCATGGTAATTCTGGAGGAGCATGTTGTTGGGCTCAGGATCCTGGTGGACTGCTCATATTGGTCTTTGAGACTATTTATTTTCTATGATTTCACTTCAGATTTGAGTGGGTACATTTGTTCAAAATCTTTATTTTATTCAAACAGTTAGGCAAAAATAGCAAGATGGGTGTAAAAATGGTAGACAATGCGGACCAATATCCTGTTCGTCTTTAGAAGCCATCTGACAAAACATACGGGTGATCCTTTCTTCATTGCTCTAACTGTTTATCTTTATTTCACAGGTCAGTACTTACGACCACAAATGAAAGCCTTAAGCTTAGCTTCACATGTTCAAGTATTTTGCAGAAGAATGATGATTTGTGTAACTCTGAGGTCAGTTTGTGAAAGTCTGTGAGTCGCGGCATGTAAGGGCGTGCTGAGCTGCTAATCTCGAGAGAATCCATCAACTCGCGGCAAATGTGTTTAGCTTTGTAAGTGGTTGAGAGGATATAATGAAGTATTTCTTTACTAAAATGTTAAAACACTGAAGTGGAATGTATAAATATGAATGAGTTCAATGGTTTAA